TGCATATATATATATGGGATGTATACCATGTACCACGCACCCCACATGGAAACACATGTCCAAACTGAAGCAGGGTCTGTCAATCCTGGATAGGCCTCATCAGTCATCTTCGGACACACAAGTAAGACGTCTAATCATGCTCAACTGGGAGGGACTGCCAAAAAAGAAGATATACAGTATGTATGTATACACACACACGTATATACACACATATTTATGACATATATATGTTACAAATAGAGATTTAGATCTTTATGTGTCATATAAATTACATATCCATAATATATACAGGTGATCCTCATCATTCGCAAGGGATACGTTCTCATATCCCCTGCAAATGGCGAAATCCGTGAATAAGGCACTGTGTTTATGAACACCATCTGCGTTCATGAACGCAGTGCCCCCAGCAGCTGGGGGGGCATAGCAGCAGGAGCCCAGCAGCAAGCACAGAGCTCCCGAGGAGCTCCTGGAAGTGTATAAAGTGTATTTAAAATGTGGGTTTGGCATTTGCAAATATTTGAAACCACGAATGCCGAACCCGCGAATAATAAGGGTTTCCTGTACCATATATTCTATGTGTGTATGTCCGTGTGTGTGAGCCTGTATACACATATGCACACATATAGAATATATAGGTAAAGTTGTGGGACCTCATTTTTAGAAGTCTAGTTCAGGCACACATCCTCACATAATGCACACATGCATGCATGTTCACATGAGCATGCAGGCACACATTCACACAGTTAAGACATTAAAATATGAGTGGAGATGCTGGACACCATATTTAATCCTGATTTCCAAAGGGCAGCTGCCCAGCACTGTGAGAATCAAACCCCTTGACAGTGTCTCCGATTGGGTCCCCAGAGACCCTGGGTGTTTTTTGAAAGTCTTAGACTTGATATGAGAATCTAGGGATCCTGTTGTTGCATTTACAGTCTCTCTGCTTTCAATTCAAGCAATAACAGCAGATTGTTACCCTGATGTGACCCTTACCAGTCTCTGTTGGTTGATTCTTAACTTTTCTTCCCCACCATTCACCTTTCCTGCCCTTCTATAATCTCAGGTCCCTGATTTTGCATGCTGTAGGGCACAAGCAATTAGGCATATTCACAAAGGACACTACTAGCCCATAATCATTTTGCAGAATTGAGGTTCAAGTACCCTCCACTGCTCCCCCTGCTCACAACATCCCATCACAGCTTTGTCCTGATTCCCAACTCTCGCACTAAACCAGCACCCTACAGCACCACATCCAGACTTCGCAGCTAGAAATGGACAAATTAAGGGAAAACAATCCCACAATAATCAGTCACATTACAAAGGAACGTGTTCTACACTAGGAAAATGACCTCATGCTCATTCCAAAATATTCCCTGCTTACTGTAAATGGTGACTTTAAAATAAAGGCAGCCCATCCAGGGAGCACTGCAGGGGTGGTTTTGGAAGTCCCATTAGTGCCAATTCCCAAGCCCTGTGATTGCCTGGAGCCCTTGCCAGGGTGGGCTCAAGGACTGAACTATTATTGAGCCCTGGAGAGGCAGTACAAGGCTACAGAGCAGATGGGGGTCAGCGGCCCGGTGCCTAAGAGGGGCCCAGCAAGATAGGGTTTAGGGGCCCAGTGCCAGAAGGGCATGGCCGTCATGGACCAGGGGCCTAGCAGACAGAGGCCAGGGACCCTGAGTGAAGGTGATAGATTGAAGCTAGTTCCTCAAAGCCAGATCCAGTGTAGTGGGCCTAGGCAAACCGGCTTAGCGAGATTGAAAGGGGTGAAGGCTAGGGAAGCCAAGGCCCTGACAGAGCAAACATCGTTATTGTAACACGTGCAAGGCTTGGGGTGTGGTGTAGGGGAGGAAAGGAGCCATGTAATTTCCCCCTAAGGCTACAGGTTCCCTAAGTGTGCCTAGTCAAGCTGGGAGTGATTTATTAGGATGGAGGACTGGAATGAGACCCTGGGGGAGGGGGGAACTTGTAGGATTGAGGCTTACTCTGAGGCCTGCTGGTAGCCTCTCTTAACGACTTCTAATAATAAGATCAGTGGTTGCAACCTGTCACAATCCCCCTGATGTAGGGAGTGGCATAGCTCAGTGGCAGAAGATCAAGCAGTCTCTAGCCTAAATCTGGATGCTGCTGGATTGGTTTAGGAATGGCATTCAGGCAGGGAGTTAGGCCATGTGGCCTCAAGGTCCCCACCAGCTCCATGATTCTATGATCTGCCCCTCAACTGAATTAACTACTGAGCCAAAAACATGTTAATTCCTTTCCTGCAGCAATTCTTCTTTCAAGCATTTACAAATAAACCAGAAGTTCATACTCTTCACTCCTTGCTGCATTGAAAGGTAAAGACCACCAGGTGCTGTAGGTGGGCACTGTGCTTTGACTTGAGAGACCTAGCCTGTTGGTAACCTGGGTGAACCCCATTTACTTCTCCCTGCCTCTCTTTCCCCCTCCTTCCCTGTGTTAAGGGTAAACGTTTGGGGGCAAAGACTGTCTCACACTATCTCTCACAACGTGCTTATATAGCACCTTGCACCACAAGGGTTGCACAGACAAGGCCAGAGGTGCTTATCCCCTGCCCAGATTCAACCCACAGAGCTTTGTCATCTGGGCAATGACAAGTCACCAAGAGCCTGCTCTGGAGCTTTCTCGGCTTCTCAGAGAATCTTAGAGATGGGCTGAAAAGGACCTTCAGAGGTCATCTAGTCCAACCCCCTGCCTGAGGCAGGATCATCCCTATCCAAACCATCCTATACAAATCCGTAATCTAACCTCTTAGTAAAACTAAAGTCAGCCCTGTCACAACACGAGATATGACACTCTAACCTGCCACAGGTAAAGCAAGGGGACCACAACAGTCCAATGTCCCTACTTCTGTAAAAGGTTGTTAATATACACTCAAGAGATCCCAGATAGAGGCCCATGATGCCCACTACAGAGGAAGCCAAAAGCCCCCACAGTCTGTACCAGTCTCTCCATGGGGTAAAATTCCTTTCTGACTACAAATATGGTGATCAGTCTGACCCTGAGTGGTGGGTAAAGACCCTCTAACATAGGCTTCAACTCCATGGGTGCTCTGGGGATCAAGCACCCACCAAAAAAAATTAACAGGTGCTCAGCACCCATGGAGCTGCTTGTAGATGGTTTCTTTGTTTTTTTAAAGCACTTTATTGGAAGAAGCAGCACATGACTTCAACCTGGCTCTGCAGCACCTGTAAAGATCAGGTGCTTCAGAGGGGAGTTTTGGCACTTTTAGCTAAAGCTGATTCAACCAGCTATTAGATAAAAGTGCCAAAAAAGCCCCGCTAAAACATCCAATCTTTACAGATGCTGTAGAGCCAGCCAGAAGCAATGTGCTGCCTCTTCTGGACATGTGCAGGGCTTGCACCGAGTTAAAAGTAAAGTACCGGGTTTTGTTTGTTTGTTTGTTTGTTTTTGGGGGGCATTGTTTGTTTGTTTTTTACACCTGCAAGCACCCATCAACACACACAAAAAAAAAAATCGGTGCCTATGCCAACTGACCAGAAACCTTCACCTTTAAGTCCAAGCAGAAGCACTGGCACACCCCAGTCAAAATCCCCAGACTTGGCTGCAGCTAACATGCAATGCCTCTGAGGAAGGCCTTCCCAAGTTTTCTCAGGGGCATTTCCAAGTTCCCTGCTCTTCTCTTTCATGTCACCTTTCTTCATGTCAAAGAGGGGGTTTTTTCCATCCCATTTACTGTCTTCAGCTCTCCCATGTCTCTGACACCTTCACTTACTTCCTCCCTTAACCTCTTCATGTTGTTTGGCCCAAGCCCTGCAGGAGAAGCAACAAGAGAGGACCTCTTTAGTTTCTTGATCCCTGGGCTCATCATGTCAGCTGTGGGGCACCTGAGGCTCCCCCACAGAGATTAACTGTTTGGAGCAATGTTAACAAGGGGAATTTCCAACATTCCTCAAGGAAACTCCTGGCATTGTCCACTCCATGATACCAGTTATCTCCCTCTGAGCATGGCACAGAATCATAAAGAAGTGCTGGAAGGCACCTCCAGAGGTCATCTAGGCCAGCCCCCTGCCTGAGGCAGGATCATCCCTATTCAAACCCACTGTCTAACCCAGGGGTGCTCAACCACAGCAGCCAGCCCACGGGACTCCCCACAGGTGCGGAAATTTGGTGGCGGGGGAGCAGTGGCAAATAATACTACTAAATTCCCAAGCCCTGCGAAGTTGGGCCATGTTCTCTTCCCTCACAGGACCTGATCAGAGCTGGGCTGTTCCCCAAACCTCTCATGCCCTGCATGCCTGATTGGGCCCACCGGCCAGACTGGGCCCAGAGGTGGACTGAACACTGTCCATCCAGCCCAAGGGGGAAAAAGTTTGAGCACCACCGCTTTAGGTCATTTGGTATCAAACTCGCCCTGTGCCCCAAGGTAGATCTAGACCGTGGGGCTCCTCATGGGATGGCTCTGGACTTGACACCGGTGGGGTAAGCAGCAAAGGTGGCAGGGCCGGCGGCAGTGGAGATAGGGCGAGTGGTAGTGAGCAGCAATGGGGCCAGAGATGAAAGCCACAAACCAAGCAGTCACAGGGCTGCATCAGCTCAGCCTTCGCATGCCCCCCTTCTGCCAACGGGCATGCCCACCAGGGCTCTGTAGCCCCAGATCCCACAGTCTTAGCCCCACTCCAAAATTCCCTGGCCTGCCAGGAGCCCAGGGGCTGGAGGGAACAGCCCTGTAGGCCAGATCTGGCCTGCAAGCTATATATTTGATGCCCCTGCTTTAGGTGGGTGAGGCTTGTACTGAAGGTCACAAAGTCAAACCCTGCTCTGAACCCACACAGCACCAGTCATCTCCCCAGCATGCTGTGACCGCTGCTGTGGGAGACAGATTGCATACAACATTCAATGAGAAGAAAAAGACAGGTCCTAGCAGGGACTGCTCGTGGTGAAAGACGCACCAAGGAGGTTACCACTGCTGCAACACAGGCAGTTAACGTAGCAATATTGAACTTTACATAAAAGGGGCTTAATGGAAAAAAAACAGTCCAGCCCAGCCCTGCAAGCAGGGTAATGGAACGGCTAAGGCAATTCAATTTGCCATCATTAAATGTGATTTGAGCTAAGTGAACAGAATGCAAGAGATGCCTTTGGAGAGAGTTAAGCTGGGAGCAGCAGGGCTGGGGGCTGGGCACGTGGCCTCTCACGTTCCTGAACCCTTGGAGCTGGACCCACTAACTTCAGAGAGCCCTGTTCACTTGGGGTCTGCACTACAGGACCCACCGGCTCAGCCCATTGTACATCAAGAGGAGGGTTATGGATGACACAAGGTTACAAGCATAGGGGATAAGAAACAGCAACAGTGAAGGCAAATGAAAATGGTTTCCAAAGTCTCCATTGGACTAGGGGACTCTGGGTTCCCCCTGCCCCAGATTACGAACGGGAATCAGCAGAGACTCCATGGCTAGGTATGACAGTATTTTGACCTCCACTGGACAGAGGAGGATGCTGCAGCACAGAGGTGGAAGGACATGCCCAAGGTCACAGTGGATCAGAGGCAGGCAACCCAGCCTGCTTGACTCACATGCCTACTACTATCCAATAGGCTGTGCTCCCAACTCACACCACCTTCCGTCCTCTTAGCATAACGAAGCCATCATGCCATATACGCACACATTTGTCCAGCATTGCCAGGCATGTCTGTTGGCCAGCTGGGCCCCTCGCTCCTAGGAAGACAGCAAGCATCACTGCTGTTTCTACAGCAAGAGAATAGTGCAGCTGTTCTGATTTGCAACCTTGACCTTGGTCCAGCAATTCCTGCCGTGGAGCACAATGCAAACGGGCCTCCCATAAGCAGGCACATAGTTCAGGGAGACGCAGGGTCCTCCTCATGCTAAGACAGTACTTAGCCATCCTTCCAGCTGCAGGCTTGTTGGCCACACAGTGTAGCAGTCCCTGCTGCTCAGTGAAGGTCACCTGCATTCCCCATCTGCTTGTAATGTGTGCAGATACACACTGGAGATGTGAGCCAGGGTAGGAAACCTCCCAGTGCCTCCATGTCCTTCTCTGGAAAGCTGGGATCACACTACTGCCTCTCTGGGAACCCAAGCAGTTCCGCCATAAAAGGCATTGAGAGACCACAGTGACAGGGCCCTCTCTGCAGCTGGGCTGGAGGCAGCAGGATGGACTCATGGTCAAGACACTGAGCCAGGACTGGGGAAGGAGCTGGCTGCAATCCTGGGCTCCAGTGGCTCAGCCTTGCTGTGTGACCTTGAGCAGGCTGGACAGGGCTGAATCACTCAGTAGAGCTCCAGGCATGAGGCAATGGCTCTTGGCAAACCTGGCCCCAAGGGTGGAGAAGGCTTGAAAAATCTGTCCCTTAAGCAGCCTGTGCCTCAGCTTCCCCATTGGGGCAACTCCGTCCCACCCACGCTCCATAAGCCTGCTCTATTTAGACGGTGCAACAATCCAGGTAGGTGCTGTCTCTCCCCATGCACCTACATAACCTCCAGAACAATGGGGCCATGACTTCAGCGCTGCTGCAGTGGGAATGCCACCAGCCCCCGGGACACTGTTGCACTGGGGAGTGGATGGGCTGCCCTTTGGAAGATTTCCAGAGCCAAGGTCTCACCCCAGCTCCTCCAGAGCAGACAGATCTCATGGTGGGGCCACATCCTTCCCCAGCCACATGGACACATACGGGAGGATCACGTCCCGCCCTAGCTGCACATGGCTTGGTTTGGAGGTTGTCCATGCTGCTCCTACCCCTGGAAGGTCCCAACTCACCCAGGCTAAGGGAAATGCCCATAGCCAGGACCTGTTGGCAGCAGGCTTACTGCAAGGGGCAGGGAGATGGGAATGTCTGTAGCACTGCAGTGCCCTCTGGTGACACAAAGTTCCCACAGAGTGGGGGGAGCCAGAAGTCACTTGCTAGGGAGGGGCTAGGGGTCGCATGCATCCCCCTATCTATCCCCATCGCTCACAGAAAGGGATAGAGCCTGTTGGAGGGGCAGAACCAGAGGCCAATTGGTCAGGGGCAGGGTAGAACCTGCTGCTGGGGGCATCCTGGTGCATTTGCTTTTCAGGAGCGGCTCATAGAGGCCCCAAGTTAGGCCAGGAGGTAATAAGTCCCTAGAAGCTCCACCTGCCTCCAGCCCAAAGACTCCTTGCATTCCTACCTGCCCCAGAGCAGGACCAGCTGGCTGTGTGGGGCACCAGCCACTTGCCTCTCTCAAGGAATCTCTCCAGGGAACATTTCTGCACCCCTAACTCTTCTGACTAAGCCAGAGAAGACCTTTGCCCTGCTCCCCCAAAGTCACAGAGAGGGGGTGCTGGGCACAGGCCACCCCAAGCCTCAGCCTGACTCCTTCACAGTGTTGGGCACTGTGGGGCTGATGTGATGCAAGAGGGAGAGAGCTCCAGAGCCAGCTGTAGGCCCTTGGGCCCTCATGCTCCACTAGGGAAGGGCCTTGCCACTCCCTCAGGCCCCATGGCAGCTGGGTTGGATGTGGTCCGTCCCCACCCATCCCTCCCAACCTGGTGCCTGGGATGTACCAAGCCCTTCTCACACCTGTCCCTGAACAAAGGAGTAAAGCTTGTTGCCCAGGTAGGGGCCTGTGGAGTGCTGGGGGTTCATCAGCACCCCCAACAGCTCTGAAGGGGCCTGCAGGGTGTAAGGTTGCAAGGAAGACTGATGCCAGTTGCTGATAGCCCTGCAGAGTCCTGCTGAACACTCCCCAAGCAGGCTGGGCCACATACCCCTCTGTCCGTGGGATCTAGCAGCCACAACACAACCACATGCATCCAGGAGCTGAACCATGTTCTTGGCTCTGCCACTGATTTGCTGCAGAACTCAGGATAAGTCACTTCTCCATGCCTCAGTTTCTCCATGGTCCATATGGCAATGGTGCTGCCAGAGCAGCTAATGATGATGAAGGGCTGGCTAGAGAGATCCACACTGGAGACCACCAGCTTGGGCACAGCACAATCACCTTGTGAGGAGAAAGCCAGCTTTTGCCTTCACCTGACTCAAAAGGCAGGCCCTGCTTTATCCCTGTCCTCGGCCACACAGGCAGACCCAGCACATAACTTGCCCAGAAATGTCAGCGTGGGTGTCCCGGCTGTCTAGCCCATAACTTCTTGTCCTTTGAGCCTAGCAGCCCCCTGCAAGGCTCCAGTCCTCCAGATGCTAACCTCTTCTCCCAGTGTCCTTCTTATGCCGAGGATCAGCTTGGCCCCATATCCCCAAGGTGTACTTGGCCCCATATCCCCAAGACAAAAGGACTGTCCGAACACATTGTAACTGTGTACCTGCCCAAGTCCCTGACCCCAGGCCATGGGCATAGATGACAACGTGCTGCATCCCTGATTTTAGAGCAACCAGCATGTGGGTGATACCACCTTGGTCTGGTCATAAGCCTTGACCATGTGGGTCTCACCAGATCCCAGGCCCATGGATGAGTGGGTTACACTGTCCTCCCTACTCCTGCCTCCTCTTTCCAGTGTCTTCCCAGTGCTCTGTGAGCCTCCAGCGTGGCTCAGCCCTCACGTCTTAGTCACTGGCAGCTGTGACTGTGAACAAGCACTCGCCAGGGGGGCTTGTCTGCCAGCAGGGAGGTGACCTGTCTTCATGCTCCCTGCTGCACTGCCCCTTTCTACTCACTCCATCTCTCCTTCCCCATTCTCATCCTCTGACTCTTTCCCCCACTCTCCAATCCACTCCCAGAGGAGAACAAGGCTCCCTTCCATCCTATCCTCCCTCCCTGTCTCTGTTCTCCTAGGTCACCTCCCTCTTCCCCTTTCCCTTCTCCTCTTCCATCTCTCTCTCTTTCTCTCTTAATTTTTCACCATCCCTTCATTACTCTCTGACTTTTCATCCCTCTCCCTGAGTCCTGTTGGCCAGGCACTCCCCCTTGGCCCTGCACTCTCTCCTTTCTCCTTTCTGTCCCCCTACCCATCACTGTCATGCTCCAGACACACACAGTGACACTGGAGTCGCAGTGGATGCAGCTCAGGAGCGAAGCAGGCAGAGTAAACATCCACCCCCCACACACCCCATCCCTGCCGCCCCCATCCCAGCTGGGGCGGGTGGAGCAGAAACAGTTAATTGCATTGAGCAGTGTAATGTGAACAGCAGTAGGTGACCTTCTAAATGCCCATCATGGTCTTCGCCAGGCTGATGAATGGGAAAGCAAAATGAGGGGGGTGTGGAGGGGGAGAAAAATTTCAGCCTCTGTTGCCATGGAGTCCCATCCAGGATTTGCTTGCATCACTGCCAGCCCCGTATCTCCAAATGGAACTAGCGCGCGAGAGACACCCAGAGCCAGACTGAGACCGCGGTCCTCCCTGCCAGCCTCTTCACTCCTTCCATCTCTCTGCCTCCAGCCTGCTGGGGCTCTCTCCATTGGTGCGGCTGTGTGTTTGTGTGTGTAAGGGAGGGAGTGGGGTGAGGGGAGGGGGGGAAGGTCTGCAGTGACTGAAAAGCCCTGGCATTAGACCCAGGCATGGCAGAGTGATTGGGGAGGGGTGGAGAGAGGGCAGTGCCAGCAGATGGACATATTTTGGAGCTAGTGACGTCTGCTTCGTTCCCAGCCAGGGAGGAAAAAACAGGAGCAAGTGGAAGAGAGAGAGAGAGTGAGAGAGAGAGAGAGTCCTGCCCAGTGCAGGAAATGCAGGGGACACTTTCTCAGGCACAGATGTGCTCTGGGGCTGCTTCCTTTCACAATGGACCAGCACTCTTCATCTTCTCCTCTACCTCCACTCCTTGAGGATCCCAGGCTTCCCCGATGCACCTGAACTTCTCCTGGGCTCCATCCCCTGGAGAAATGCCCAGATTCCTGCTGCAGCTGCTGAGATGAACCCTGTTGACTGCAGGGCTTTGGGGCATCAGCTCTCGTGATCCCCTTCTCCAGCCATGGGGTGCTGTCTGTGGCCTCTGCTCTGGTGTGCCCACATGGTGCTGGCATGGGGCACAGGGATCTTCCAGCACCAGAAGCTGCCTCCTGTCAAGACCAGGACGTCAAAGGCAAAGGAATGGGTTGCTCTGTCCTCAGCTTCCACATGGGTGTCCAACCCGGAGTCGGACAAGGCAGACCTCGAGGGCTTTAACGCAGCCCTTGCTTTCCTACACTCTGGGGACACGTTGAGGCTTTCCCATGCTAACTGCAGCCAAAGGTTTGAAGTGTGGGACATGGGCAGAGCTACCAGCCCCCCTGAGGCCCTGCGGGCCTCCCTGCGTGGCGCTACCGATACCTTGGCCCATGCCACCAACTTTCTCAACATGATCTTCCAGACCAACGACATCCGGGAGTCTAGTGTCAAGGAAGATGTGGAGTGGTACCAAGCCCTGGTCCGCAGCCTCATTGAGGGGGATGCCCAAATCCACCGGGCAGTGCTGACTTTCGATGCCCACCCAATGTCCTCCAAGCCCCAACTGATGCTGCAGGCCACCAAAAAGAAGGATGAGATCCTGCTGCAGGACCTGTCGGGCTCCACGGAGGGTCTGAGGAACCTGAGCCGGGAGAATGAGTGGTTCAATGCCCTCAAGTCCCAGCAGGCCCTCTTCCTGCACAAGCGGGTCCTCAACAATGACCTCCAGAGCCTTGACACCCCCAAGTGGAACCGCGGCGACAGCTACATGATGGACACTAGCCATGTCAGGTGGTCTCCTCCCTTCTTGGAGTGTGAGGACGGCAAGTTCCTGCCCACCTGGATGGTCACCCTCTCCTCCTCCTTCTATGGGCTGAAGCCGGACCTGAGCCCTGAGTTCAAGTGAGTGGCACCAGGGAGGGGAAGAAGGTGGGAGGGGGCATGGTGGAGTCTGAGGATAGGGGCAGGGAGTGTTTGGGGAGTGGGGAGACACAGAGCTGGGGAGACTCCTCCCCCCACTCACAAATGCACGTTTCCCCCCCTACCCCACCC